AATTTCTTTTCGTTAGGTAATCTTTCACTTTGGGGGAAAATGCAGGGTGTAACCAGTCATAAAAAAAGTCCCCCTAGGACCCATGCCTTACTGTTTCCCCTCCACAGCACACAAAAATTCCTTGGGAATTTTCTTTTGCCTAATGCTCGGGGAGTTTCTGATTGAACACTAAAAAAGGGCTTCACTTTGCAATCACCATAGCTGGAACCCCTCAACAGGTAACCCTGTCTTTCAAAAGGCTTATGTCCGGGAGTCCCTTTTTTCCCTCCTGAGTAATGACTCCTTTTTGGGCATTTTTTCCAAAACAGGCCTTTTTACAAATTAAAACTTGTATTTTCAGCCTTTTCCTGTTATGTACCCTTTTGAATTCCTGCACAATTTTTCAGTGCTTTGGGGTCCGAACTGGCAGCCTCACCATGCTTTTCACCTAGTATGCCACACGCTTCTTAAATCCTCAAAAACCCAACCTTTTCTGGCCTTAAATTCACTCACTCATCACTACTGAGGCATTTTTTTTAATTTAATCCCAGCAACTTCTAGCCTTTTTCACTTATGATCACTTGAAGATCTATTTCCTCTATCTTTTTTTATTTTCCTTTCCAAAAAAGAGTCTCAAAATCTTTCCCCACTTGCGATCTCTGTTTCAAAAAAACAGTTTTTTCCTTTGGGAAAACAGCTTTCCCTTTATTGCCGTTTTTGTTGGGCAAAAGTACGATGTTGTTGGGGGGTTTTATACAAAAACCCGGCCAGCTCGGAACATCCTCCCTTTATACAGCAAGATCTCTTTCTTTTCTCTTTAGTAAAATTCTCACCCTTATTTCTGTAGGGTTGGCCTAGAAGCTTTCTTGGGGGGGCCCTGGTCCCTTATTTTGCAGTTTAAATCACCAAAAAACCCCGAATAATACAAAGTTCCGATTTTATGTTTATGTTACCGCGAGGCTGGCTGTAAACAATGCCCCCGGGGGAACAGGCGTGGCCAGGCCCCCACTTAGACGCATCTCGGACGAATACGTTGACGGGTTTTTTTTTGGGATGCACAAAACTTTGCGATAAAATGTTCGGGTTTTTGGGTTTAAAAAGTTATGTAATGCCAACGGTATCGGGGGGCCCCCTGTGGTGTGTATTAATATATATATATATAATTTTTAAATAATATATATATATATATATAATTATATTAATTTATATATATATATAAAAAATATAAATATATATATATATATAATATTAAAATACAACATGTACAAACATAATAATACAAAACAAACACGTGAAAGAAAAGTGAAATTCAAAAGGGTTCAGGACTTTTACATATCAAGGGCGAAGTGGGGCCCCCGTATATGATATTAATCCCTTCCTGAGACTAAACGATCCAAAAATTAAAAAGCAAAAATTTTCCCCATAAAAATAATGGAAATCAAATTTAAACTGTGCAAGACACCCAAAAGTAGAAAAAAAAGAAATTTACCACATGAATTTTTAATTAATGACACAAACGAAGAAAGACTGCACGTTTGTAGACTCTACTAACATAGAAACATGACACTTACCTTTTAAAAAGATCGGGGTGATGACTGAGGGGAGGGAAGGGGGGAAAATGTGAAGTTGTTAATTTTAGAAGGGGAATCCCCTTCCATTGGACTTGAGGTACAGCCCTTTTTTCCGGGTTACTTCCCTTTTTTCTTTTAATGCCCTAGGACCAGTTTGAAGTCACGGGGACCTTTTCGCACAACAAATCGTCCATAAGGTCTGTACCTCCCTTCCTTTAAGTTTTGTCAAAATGGGCCAAAAACATTGTCATTGTAATTCATAAGCCGGGTTTGCAATAGCTGTGTTAGGGTATTTTCATCAAAAATTTTTTGCGATAACCGCTTTGCACACTTTTTTCTTAATTTTTGGGGGAAATGGTTCCACAACTGGCATACCCTTCAGGTTAGCCCAAACCCTTAAAAACCTTTTTAATTTCCATACAAATTCTCACCCTTTTTTTACCACGGGGTTGGGACTAGAACTTTTTTGGGGCCCCATGGTGACTTTTTTTTGCGAAACAAGCACCAAAAACAGTGTAAAGGGAATTCCGAATGAAATGTTAATGCGGCCACTGGCTGGCTTGTAAACACGGGCACACACGGGCGTTCAGGTCACAGTGGACGCGCCCGCGAATGATTGGGGGGTTTTTTAATGAGTGGCGGGGAAAAATTTTTGCTTTAAAATTTCGTTTGGGGTTTAGCATTTAGATGCCATCGTATCCCGTGGGTCCACGATAGAAAGTCACAAAAGCTCTTTGGAAATTTATTTTCTTTCGCAGTGGTTTTTTTGCATTTCTGATACATTTTTTTATGTATCTTTTGATATATATAAGATATAAACAAATGACTTCAAGAGTGTATCGTCGTAGTGGAAGGAAGGCGGGGTAAGGGGGCGGCCTGGAAAGTTTTTGGGGGGAGGGGTAAAGAGGGTTTTTGGTGGAGGGGGTTGGGGACCCCAGAGCATGCAGGAGGTGTTGTGGGTGGGGGGAACAAAGGGGTTTTTTAAAATATTGAGTGCGTTATGTGGAAAGTAAAATTTTGGGGGGATTCGGGAAAACTGGCAGGGCCGGGATTTTGGCCCTGGAAGGGAAGTACAGTCCCGCCTCGAAGGAGGGGTGTTAATTTTTGCTTTTAAAAAAACTGTATGTAAAGCACCCTTCTGGAAACAGTGATGGAGTAAATGAGGGTAAAAAGTTTTTTTTTTTCGGGCCACCCGCTTGGGGGGAATGGGCCCAAAGGTGTATAAAAAATAAATTTATTTATATATATTTTATATATTTTTTAATTATATAATTATATTTTATATATTATATATATATATATATATTATACCCAGTAGTGGTTGGTAGACAGCAACCACCCAGGGAGGTCTACCGTCCTCCAAAGTAGTGTAAAACGAGGCCCTAAAATTGTTTACTGTGGTAGGATTGCTGGTGTCTTTTTTTCTGTCTCAAAAAACATGAAAGATTTCGGGTTGTCTTGTATTCTACTTACACTTAGGTCACAATACACATACTTTTACAAGCATATATATACACCCCCTCTGGGTTTTTTGTATTTTTTTTTAGTTTTGTTTTATTTTTTCCTTTTATCTCCATGGGGAAGTGGAAAAAGAATTTTTCCTCCGTAAACCTGGTGTTGTAAAGCGACAAAAAAAGCCGGGGAAAAAAGGGGCTAAAACCCCTTTTCCTGTATAAATTCTAAATTTAGAAAGAGAAACTTTCGTTTTTCTTCTTGGGCCACCCTGCCTTGGTGGGATACGGCCGGTTTGTTGAAAAAAAAAAAATATGTACACTGTATATATACAGTGGACCCCCGGCTTACGATATTATTTCATTCCAGAAGTATGTTCAGGTGCCATTACTGAACGAATTTGGTCCCATAAGGAATATTGTGAATTAGATTAGTCCATTTCAGACCCCCAAACATACACGTACAAACGCACTTACATAAATACACTTACATAATTGGTCGCATTGGGAGCTGATCGTAAAGCGGGGGTCCACTGTATATATATTACAGGCATTTCGCTAATACAGCAGTTTTCAATTATACCCATTCTTCATTAATTCAGATTTCCTACAATAATTATATTCACCACTCACTGTGAGCTAGGGATGAAAATATATTAAGGTAAGTACGTAACGTGTGCATTGTATGTGGATATTTTAGGCCTAGCTCTATTGCTTATATTGTTATCAGGTTTTTATATGCATTTGAAAGTGAAAAATAAGGCTATGGTTCACTCTACAGCAATTTTTGTTTTACAACATTAGCCTGGAACCTAACCTGCTGTACAAGCAGGGACCTCCTCTATATCCCTTTAACTGTCCAAACATAGATCTGTGTTTACATGTGTAGCACTGCAACCTTGATTTTCTCCATTTGAAAGCATGTAAAAAAAAAAAGTAGATCTACGTTCGGAGAGCTACATGAGCGAACGTAGATCTACGTTTGGACAGTTTAAGGGATATACACCATTTATAATTTTATTGTTTGTCTCCTCTCATCTCTTTATTACTACTGTACTGTCTATACTTCTTTTTCTCTTTTTTCCCTCAATTTCCTCTTTCAATTTAATTTTGCCTTCTGTTTTTCCTCCTCTTTCTTTCTTGTTTTTCGTTTAGTTTTTTCTTCTCTTCTTCTTTTTCTCTCTTTTGATTTTCCTCTTTCTCATACTTCTGCTACTTTTCCTATCATTTTCCTCTTCTCTTTCCTTTTTTCCTCTTCCTATTTTTATATTTTCCTTTTTTTTCTTTTTTTTCTATTTATCTTTAGTTTCTTTTTTTTCTTCTTTCTCTCAATCTGTCTCCTTTTCTCTTTCTTTTCTTCTATTTTTCTTTTTTCTTTTTCAAGCTTTTATCTCTCTCTTCATTCTTCTCTTTTTCTCCTCTCTTTTCCTCTACTTTTCTGTCTTTTTCTTTTGTTTTATTTCCCGTTTTTCTGGTCCCCTCTCTTGGCCTTTTTTCACTTTTCTCTTTTCCTCTTTTTTTCACCTTTTTTGCTTTTATTTGCTCTTTTCTGTCTCTTTTTCTCTTTTTTGCTTTTTCTTTCTCTCTTCTTTCTCTTATTTATCTTTTCCTCATTTTTCTTTCTCCTTTTTTGTTTTTTTTCTCATTTCTTCTTTTTATCTTGTCTCTTTTTTCTTTTTTTTTTCTTATTTACCTTTTTTTTCATGCTTTTTCCTCCTTGCCTCCTTTTTTGTCTTTGCCTCTTTTTTCTCTCTGCCTCTTTTCTCTTTGTCTCTCGTCTCTCTCTTCTTTTTACACAAGGTTTTACAAGGTTAAGTCAAGCTGTTACATCCATCTCTCACTCATTTTCCTCCCCCTTTCCCCTCCCTCCCTCAACCCTCCTTTCCCTCCCTTCCCTTCCTTTTCTCCAGTATTTTGTCTGTTCAGTACTCCATTCTCCATGAAAATTCTGCTTCTTCCTTTTGCATTTTTTCTTCTAAATAAAAACAATGTATTTCAGGAGGATCATTCTGGACTAGACGAGCTAAAGTTGGGTGGTGCCATATATGTGCTTGGTGTTATCTTCTTCAAATTGGATGGACGAATTCCTCTTGCACATGCTATCTGGCACCTCTTTGTGGTTTTGGCAGCGTTCATCCACTACTACGCTGTTCTCACATACCTCATCCTCCCACCAGAAGTTGGTACATCCACTCTTGACGTACACTCCATCGATGAGTGTGATGTATCGGTGCCAGAGTGTTCCTTAGTGTAGGCTTTGTGATAGGAGGAGAAAGTTATGTGAATTAAATGATATTTAATGGCCAGGATATAAGTATTGATTCTCAGGTGATGATTATACAAAGTTTTCTAAATATGAATACACTATATTAACTATGCTCATGTGTGAAAATGTGAGAACATTAAGTTGATTAACATTTTTCAGGCCTGGAAAATTAAGAGGGATGTTAATTGAAGGTTGTATTGTACCTTTCAAGAGAAAGCTAGGCAAGTTTTTAGAAAGTGCCTGATCAGCCAGATTCTAATGGTTATGTGAACCTATGAGGCCATGGGCACCAATAGGCTGGCTGATCAAGCAATCATCAAGAAAACCTGGCCAGGCTGCAGGAGTACAAGAAACTCAAAATCAGTCGCAGGTTTGCTAGAGCTCTCTTATTTGCCATATTTATAGAAAATAAAAGTTCAATTCCATTTACCTGAAGCAAATAAAGTTGAATGCAATAATGAATAGTGATAATGATCTCACTTATAGAGAAAGATAACACAGTTACACATAAACTGCTCATGTTCATTGCATTATTTTTCTTCCATTATCATATTTATGGGACAGAGCAGAATTAGATATTAGTAATGGGTATTTTTTCATTTTTCTAAGAGACATAAATTGAAAAGATGTGTACTGGGGAAATATTTATTAAAATGATGGTTTTGCTTAGTGGGGGCATTGAATTATAGTTTATCCTAACTTAATCAAACTCACTGAGTGAAGTATTGTGTTTAATAGAGGCTTGATTTACTAAGTTACTGCCTGTCTTTCATACACATAAATAGGACAGTTAACATTTTGATACCAGAATACACTTAGCACTTTAATAAAGGTTTCAGCTGCATTAAACCAAATTAGTCATAAATGAAGATACTCTTTGATGAATGTTCATTTCTGAGAATATCACTTAAAAGAGAATTTTCAATCAAAAGAATTAGACATAAATTTACAGTATTGAGTCAAGATAGTCATACTTAACATTCAGTCAAGATTGTCATACTTGAATAACATTCAGTCAAGAAAATCACATTTAAACAACATTCAGCCAAGAAAGTCACACTTGAATAGTGTACAGCCAAGATAGTCACATAGAATACTCAAGCAGGATAGTCATATTTAATGAATATTTGACCAATATAGGCAAAGTTGAAGAGTAGAACTGTTTGCTACTGTGTTGTGATCATTGGTATGGGGGTGCTCACTGCTAGCTATATCTGCAGTTAGTAATCTCATTGTGATAGATTTGGATAATCTTAGCTAGATAGTATTTTATCCTGTGCATACAAAATGTGTAGTAAAATTCCTAGTCTTGGCAGGGTAATAATTTCACTAAAGAAATTTGCAGGGTAAAAATTCAGTGGAAATTAAACATGGGGATGTATTGAGCTTAATGAGTGATTTCAAATTTCATAAATATCGAATTCATATGCTCAAACACACAAATTCACTATATACACAAAATATAAAGCGAGTAATAGACAAACTTACTCAACATTGGAAAATCAAATTAAACATGAGAAATAGAGTAGACAGATTAATTATCAAATCAGTTGAAGAACTGTGCAAGATTGGAGGTGTAAAAAAAATTATTCTTGCAGTGGATGAAAGATTTTGGCTTGCAAGAAAAAGAGGACTGATAAGTCAAATGTCTTGGTGGAATAATGTCACAAGTGGAATCCCACAGGGATTAGTTCTTGCTCCAGTGATGTTTTAAGCTATATAAATAACCTACAAAAAAGGGAATATATTACTACCTTATTTTAATATGCTTGCATTGTGCAAAATGTTTATGTTAAGTTGGCAGTCAAAATGATTATAAAAGTTTACAAGAGGATCTAGGTAAACGGAATATGTAAATAAGTTTGATCTTGAATATGTAAATGTGTAAATAAGTTTAATCTTGATAAATGATGCAGAATGGAAATAAATGAAAGTGCAAATATGCCCTATATAAATTAGGTAATGTTATATGAGCATCAGATTAAGAAAATTGCTCTAGGATGATTATTAATAAGTTATCACCAGAAAAATAATATAAATGTTGTTAGAAGCTTTCTTGCAATATTTGCAAATGTTAAAGTAAATGTCAGATGTAGGGAAGGCACTGCTGAAAAGTTGTTTATGTCTGACATTCAGCAGGACATGGTGGTTGTATATCTGCATCTTAACCCTTTCACTGTCGAGACCCCTGCTTACAAACTTGCTCTTAGTGTCGAAGAATTTAAAAAAAAAAATGTATTTCTTATCAAATGATAGAGAATCTTTTCTTGATGGTAATGACACCAAAAGTATGAAATTTGATGGAAAACTTACAGAATTACACTCTTGTGAAGTTGGTGGTCTCAGCAATATTTGCTCATCAGCGATTTCTCCCACTTTGAGCCCTATTTTTGGCCAATTCCATTGTTCCAGTTGACCAAACTCATAGCTATTTTGCTAGAAGTCCTTTTATTCTATCAGCTGAGTACAAGAAACTGCCCATTTACCAATTTCAACTACCCAATAAAATGATCATGAATTGGTAATTTGGCCAATTTCATACACAATTCATGTAAGGCCAATTTCAAAATAGGGTTCAGAATTAACAATGCAAACATTCCTAGCACTAAAATAATATTTTCTCTGTTCATTAGTCACATCTCCAGGCCCCTCTTATATTACACTTACTGTCCATTTTGAATTAATATTCACACAAAAAACAGAAGATTTACTGTTATGCAGACTACTGCATTATTGTAGATATGGTATAAATAATAGCGCATTTTTGAAAGCATATTAGACCCACCTCTTGACGTGTATTGGATGCGCGATGTGATTTGTTTATTCTTGAACATCGTCAAAAATCAAACATATCTGCTAATTTGAGCTCAATTTCAAGGTACTTTTATTCCATAAACCATTCAAAATCATCTCCGTTTCTGTAACATATCTTCCATTCTATCAAATGAGACCAAGAAAACGAGAATACAACCACAAATACCATACGTAAAAACATCACAAAGTCACTGTTTTAAACCAAAAACATAGTCAGTTTTTTTTCTCATGCACTGCGTGCGGCAGGATTTTTATTTATGCTGCAGACAAAGATCAATCAGACCCATTCTCTCATACATAGACCTACCAGCTTTCACAAGATTGGAAGCTGCTAGAATTTTGGCATAGTATTACGGGACCAACACTGGCTTTCGAGCCATAATATTGTGGAACTGACAGTAAAAGGGTTAAGAAACATATACAGTAGTCAAAATAAAGTTCAGAGGGATTCAACAATATAAATTCCAAAATTGAGATATTTAAATTTTGAAGAAAGATTAAAGGTCCTGGAAATACTGTCATTGGAAGATAGGATAAGAGGAATATAATAACTACATGTAGTAAATTTATAAAATGCTATGAAAAGTAGTCAAGGAGAATTCCTTTATGCCAGCAATGGGGAAAACAAGATACGGTAGCTTTAACCCTTTCACTGCTAATACCATAATAATACGGCTTTGGAGCCAGTGTCGGTCCCATGATACTACACCAGAATTCTAGCAGTTTCAAATCTGGTGGGAGAAAGCTAGTAGGCCTACATGTGAGAGAATGGATTTGTGTGCTTAGTGTGTGAAGTATAAAAAAATTATGAAGTCCTCAGTGCATTATGGGAGTGCCAGGAGTTTGTGACCGAAAGCAATGCCTATTATACCAAAAATAGCGCTGAAAAGCCAGACAACCATCAACCTTCCACCTCTGGTGCTGGGCCATCTCATTCATGTTCAGTTGTAACACAGTGAAAGAGGAAATTCATATTTTCCCATGTCCAGGACTCAGATGTTAGCAGTGATCATGATAGTGATAATGATTGTGATTTCCAAGCTCTTGATTACAATTCCAGTAGTGACAATGAAGAGGAATATTCTCCAGTGAAGCTTCATTTTTATACGAGACTGCATTCATTCTGCTAGTGTGCCATAAGCTATTCCAAGGGGAAGGAGTACATCTCAGAGTACATCCCGTGGCCCTACACCAGGAACAGATAGTGGAATGGGAAGACAGCGTGGGTGGTGGGAAAGGCAGCGTGAGTGGTGGGAAAGGCAGTGTGGGTGGTTAGGAAGACAGTGAGGGTGGTGGGGAAGATGGTATGGGTGGTGGGGAAGACAGTGTGGGTGGTGGGGAAGACAGCATGGGTGATGGGTAAGATAGTGTGGGTGGTGGGTAAGACAGCATGGGTTGTGGGGAAGACAGTGTGGGTTGGTGGTAAGATAGCATGGGTGGTGGGTAAGACAGTGTGGTGGTGGGTAAGACAGTGTGGGTGGTGGGAAGACAGCATGGGTGGTGGGGAAGACAGTTTTGGGACGTGGTAAGACAGCATGGGTGGTGGGTAAGGACAGCATGGGTGGTGGGTAAGACAATATGGTTGTGGGGAAAGATATGTGGGTGGTGGGTAAGACAGTGTGGGTGTGGGAACCGCATTGGTGGGTGGGAAGACAGCATGGTATGGGAAGACAGCATGGATTGGTTAAGAAAATGAGGATTGGTGGGGAAGACAGCATGGGTGGGAAAACAGCATGGTGGTGGGTAAGACAGCATGGTGTGGGGAAGACAACAGGGTGATGGAAGACAGCATGAGTGGGTAAGACAGCATGGTTGTGGGGAAACAGTGTGGTTAGTGGGTAAGACAGCATGGGTGATGGGTAAGACAGCATGGTTGGTGGGTAAGACAGTATGGGTGGTGGGTAAGACAGCATGGGTGGTGGGTAAGACAGTATGGGTGATGGGTAAGACAGCATGGGTGGTGGGTAAGACAGCATGGGTGGTGGGGAAGATGATATGGGTAATGTTACAATTGGGATGGATAATATACATATGGCAGCAGGTGGTGGTGGTGCAATGTGTCATGTGGCACCCCAATCTGGTAGCGATGTCGATGACTCGGCACATCCGTAGCAAAAGCGACCTTGAACCACCCATACACCACAACAACTTGCACAACCACAATAATCTGCACAACCACAACCACAGCAACCTGCACAAACACAACAACAACTACAACAACCTGCACAAACACAACCACAACAACCTGCACAACCACAACCATAACCTGCACAAACACAACCACTTGTCAGTATCCAGTATTCACCAGCAGACCACATCTGGGATTGGCAGCAAGGAGCCAATTTTGTTCCCAATCCCCATCACTTTGATGAAACTCAGTGGAATATGGCCATCTTGTACACTTGGGAACAATGCCACGGAACTGTAATGAGTTATTCTTTGATAAACCCCTGGTGGAAATTATTGTCAGGGAGAATAGCACATACTTCCATTACACCATGGCAAACACAATTATTTCGCCAAAATCACGCCTACCCAGTGGAAGAAGACAATTGTGGCTGAGATGTTTCTGTTCCTTGCCACAATAATGTTTATGCCACTTGTGTATAAGCACACTGTCACATCATACTTTTTGACAGACTGCCTAATTTCAACCCAAGCTTTCAGTGATATAATGCCAATGGACTGATTTTTGCTACTTTTACATATTCTACACTTCTCAGACAAAACAAGGCCTGATAGAATGGCAGTTTATGCAAGATACCAGAAAGTTATTGGGTATCTCCGTGCACATACAACAAAATGCCCACAAAAATGCAGAGACACGTTTGTGTGTGAGGAGTATAAAACAGCACTGTGCATAACACCATGTTTCGAAGAGTTCCACAAACTGCAGCAGTTCTAGGAACGTGTCCATTGACTCTATATGTGTATATATATTATAGAACAATAGTAATAAACAACTTTTTAAATTGTTGGTTTGTATTACGAGCACAGGTAATGAATGGCCTGTGAGACCTGGTCATAAAGGGAATTGGAGCAAAAACACTCGGTAGTAAATTATAATGTATGTTTTGCCTACACCCACTATATACAGGTATGTACAATATGTACAGATAGAATAATAAGTGTACACCACAGTGACAAATGGCAAAGCAGAAGCCATAGAGAGTGCACCGTACTCAACCAGCAGGTAGGTAAGTCTGCCAGTGCTTACAGCAAGTGAACCACATTGCTTCAGCTTTGGCTGGCTTGCCTGTGATTGGTCAGTGAACCAAGGTACTGATTTAGTGATAGGTACCATATTTATTTATCGTTAAACCCTTAGCATCCAGTTCACTGGTTGGGAGGTAGCCTATATGGGAGTGTGACATATGCCGAATAAATTGTAACATACACCTTGCATGCCCCAGTTAATGTCAACAAGTTTTGTAAACAATATAATATTTATGCAGTTATTGTGTTGCGTGCAATGAGTGGATATACAGTGGAATCCCGGATTTTGGCCGTAATCCATTCCAGAAGGTCGGCCTAAATCTGAAAAGGCCAAAAAACGAAGTAATATTTCCCATAAGAATTAATGTAAATACATGTACAATTAATCCGTTCCAGACACCCAAAAATATTAACAAAAAATTAATTTTTTAAAGATTAACTATAGTTTTACATACACAAACAATGAGACATAAATATAAAGCACAAATTTTAATGATAAATGAACATGACATACCATTATTGAAGACTCTTGTTGGCGTATTGAAGAAAGCGAGGAGGGGAGATGGTGTTGGGGTTATTGTTTGGAAGGGGAATCCCTCTCCATAAGGACTTTAGGTATCAAAGCCCTCTCTGGGATTACTTCCCTTCTTTGTTTTTTACTGGCACCAGGACCAGCTTGAGATTCACTGCACCCTTGTCGCATAAAAATCCTGCCTGAAGTGGGACAAGGTTTTGTCACTGAATTCTATCATGTCTCTCACTTTCTTTACCAAAGGAACTTTCTTTGGGCCCATGGTGGCTTATTTCACAGTCACATTAAGTAAACAACCACAGAAAATAATGGATATAACAAAATGTTTGGATGAATGCACGGAATGTTGCTCATTCATCCAGAGACACAGCCAGACTGACTCACGAACATGGCGGAGTGGCGGGTGGAATCATCCAATATGGCCGATTTCTGAGTTGCCGGCCGAAATCCAGGACAGAATTTTGGCCAAAAAAGCAGCCGATATCTTCCACTGTACATATATATTATGCATTGTATTGGTCTCTCAGGCCACAAAAGTTACTTGAAAACATAAAATATTAGAAAAGAAAAGAAAAAAGAGAATACAGTGGATCCCCGCCTTTGGATATTAACCCCTTCAGGGTCCAAGGCCAAAATCTGAAGTGGTGCCCCAGTGTCCAAGAATTTAAAAAAAAAAAAATTTGTTATTTTTTCTTATGAAATGGTAGAGAATCTTTTTGTGAAGGTAATAAAACAAAAAGTACAAAATTTGATGGAAAATTTACGAAATTATGCTCTCCCTAATTTTGATGTGTCAGTGATATTTACGAATCGGCGATTTTGCCAACTTTGACTCCCATTTTAGGCCAATTACATTATTCCAGTCGACCAAATTCTTAGCTATTTCACTAGTATTACTTCTATTCTATCGATTGAGCACAAGAAATCGCCAAGTCAACTGTTTCAACTACAAAATGAAGTGATTGGAAATTGGTAATTTGGCCAATTTAACACAAAGTTCAAAATATTCCAATTTCAAAATAGGGTCCTGAATAAATAATGTAGGTATTCCTGGCACTAAACTAACATTTCCTCTGTTCATTAGTTATGTTTTGAGGCTTTACAAATAAATTCCATTTTGATTTTTTACTCACATAATGAATTTTTATTCACACCAAAAAATAGAAGATTTACTGTTATGCAATATTGTAATAATTGTATAAATATCATTACCACATTTGTGAATGTATATTAGACCCACCAACTGGCGTGTATTAGACATGTGAGGTCGTTTGTTTACTCTTGAACATCGGCAAAAATTTAACATTACCGCTACTTTGAGCTCAGTTTCAAGCCATTTCCAGTGCTAAAACCAATCAAAATAATCTCTATTTCTGTAATATGTCTTCCATTCTATCAAATGAGACCAAGAAATCACAAATACAGCTATAAAAAAACATACGAAAAAAACACTGCAAAGTCGCTGTTTTAATCGAAAATCATGGTCTCAGTTTTTTCTCTCATTATGCACAGTGTGCTGCAGGATTTGTTTTATGTGGTGCACACATACCACATAGATGTATTCTCTCATATCTAGGCTCAAGTGTACCACCCACAGTTTATCAGAGTGAGCTGAGCTCATGGCGTAGATCTACGGTTTGGACCCTGAACGCAAAGCCATAAATCTATGGGACGGACCCTGAGAGGGTTAATCCGTTCTTGAGAGCTCATCGTAAGCCGAAATTATCGTAAGGCTAATTAATTTTCCCCATAAGAAATAATGGAAATCAAATTAATCCATTCCTGACACCCTAAAGTATGAAAAAAAAAAATTTTTACCACATGAAATATTAATTTTAATACACACAAACTGAAGAAGATATGCACAATTACTACTCTACTAAGAATAGAATACACGACACTAACCTTTATTGAAGATCTGGTGATGATTGATGGGATGGGAGGAGGGAAGAGTGTGGAAGTTGTTATTGTTTAGAAGGGGAATCCCCTTCCATTAGGACTTGAGGTAGCAAGTCCTTTTTCGGGGTTACTTTCCTTCTTTTATTGCCACTAGGACCAGCTTGAGAGTCACTGGCCCTCTGTCACACAACAAATATGTACATAGAGCTCTGTACCTCCTGTTCCTTTAAGACTTTCCTAAAATGGGCCATAACATTGTCATTGTACAGGTTGCCAACACGGCTTGCAGTAGCTGTGTCAGGGTGATTTTCATCCGCGAAGGTTTGCAGTTCAACTCACTTTCCACACATTTCCTTAATCTTTGAAGTAGGCAACTTCCTTAATTTCTCTCTCCCCTCCTCTGATGCAGTTTCCTCAGGTCTGGCCTCTTGCTGTTGAAGATGGTCTTGCAGCTATTCAGTGGTTAGTTCTTCATTGTCCTCCTCCACCAACTCTTCCACATCCTCCCCACTAACTTCGAACCCCAAGGACTTCCCCAATGTCACAATGGATTCCACAACTGGCATACGCTTCTCAGGGTTAGCCTCATACCCTTCAAAACCTCTTTCTTCTACACATTCTAGCCACAGTTTCTTCCAAGCAGAGTTCA